ATATTTTGCAATATTTTTCTTCATTATCCTTATGTTTAATGCTCGAAAAATACAGTAAGTAGTTCATATATATTATAATGAGATGTTATTTATAGACAATCTATGATCATATATCAATAAGGTCTGTCACAATTTGTAATAGTTCTATAGTTATGCCTGTCATGATTTGCGATGCTTCTATAGTTATGTCTGTGATAAGCCGTTCCTAACATGTCTATCAGCTCTGTTGGGAGGAGGAGATCTAAATTTCTCTCCCTTTAACGTCAATATTTCTTTTAGATTATGTTTCAGTAAACAAAAATATATTTAGAGAAAACCTTAACTATATGTAATTTATGTATAACTATGCTTTTTATAGATTTTTAAGATCATTTTATGTCATGCAAGGAATTATCAATCTATTTGAAATTATAATGAAACTAAAGAAGATTTTTTTTCCTAGAAGATTTATAGTATTAAAAAGTAATTAAAAACTTAAGAATTATTACCGAAAGGAAAATGTTTAATCGTCATTCGACAGCGTGTCCTTAATTGAGCAAGTGGTAATGGCCAAAATACTGTTCCATTATAACTCACAATCATATTTTGTGAATCTTGTGGAAGAAGAAAACCAGCATTATCAGCTGTATTATATAAAAATGTATCCGGATACCTACATAATAGTTTTCAAAATCGAAAAAACAAACAATTTTTCGAAATTTTAATCATACCAAACAGATGTTGATGGCATTCGAAGCCAAGTAATATTACCAAAATCATTTGGATTCCAAACTAGACGTGGGTCTATAAATGTTTTGTTGATATTACAATAGAAAAACTAGTGTTTATTTCTGTTTATTTTTTCTTACCTTTCCATTTTTGATCGACAAAACAATTCGTAACAATAATTTGTTCTTTTTCAACCATTGATATAATTTGATTAAAAATAAAACGAATATCAACAATAACTTCTTTTGATGGACGAACTTTTTTTAAATATTTTGATTCATTTAAAAGTGTACGTATTAAACGTGTTTCTTCTTCAAATAGATTAAAATCAGCAAAATTAAAACTTGTTAATGATAATAATAAATATAAATAACAATTCATATAAATACATCGATTCATCATCATTTTTTTCACAATTATCGTTGAAAATCAATTTGTACAAAAATATTTTATTTATATCTTCCAACAAAAAAAGAAAATTATTTATTTCTTGTTCGTTTCCTACTTGGAATTCTCTTCTACTTAGAATCTATTGCAACCTATAGATGATAGCAATTGTTATAGCAATCATTATAATTGTATTAACAGCGTTCGATATGATTTTCAATTTTCCTATAACTTATGTATATATATATTATCTTGTTTGCTGAATGACAGTAGATGCAGTCTGAAAAGAAGAAAAAGAGGAAGAAATGAATCAGTGTAATGGCTGTCAAGAGTGATGATCAATGAGAAAACGATGTAGAAATAATTATAGAGCTAATAAAAAAGAAAGAAAGTACTAGTAACAAGTCAAGTGATATTAATGGCGAAATAAAACAAAATGAAATACATATGTTTGAATAAATTATGTTCTTTACTGGATAAAGCAAAGATCAAAATCTAAATTACAAAATATCATAGGTGACTTTCATTAATTATTTCTTGTTGTGACATCCCTACAAGCATAAACTTAAGGAATATATAAATATGGATAAGAAGATGGATAGATATGAATAATCATGACATTAGAAAAGAAAAAAACGAGTGGATGATTACAAACAGTTGGTAACATTCAAACTTAGATAAAAATATCTGTTTGTCATCGAATCTTTTGTCAAAGACCAACCACCGACTTATGTTTATATATTAACCAACTTACACTTAAATTAAGCATACACATATGGATCGGACCATATAAGCATTGAGAAGAGTTGTTTTATTATTTCCATAATAAGGAACAAAAATTACTATTGAAAAAGAAAAAGAAAGATGAGACAAATCCTCAAATCCTTAGGGAAATTCTCTATTAATAGAATATAGCTAAAATTGAATTAATGGATATTTGACTATGATCTTATTGAATATTAATATTACCCGGTTCTTCTTATGTATGAGTATAGAATTCTGTTTACATATGCGATAATAATCATGAACAAAAACGATAAAAATGAATCGTTATATATATATGTAAACAAACGTCTTTCTAATACGCTTGTTGTTGTCGTTAGTGCAATTGCGATTCCTGTTCAAATATGAATCGGAAATGAGATGAATCATAGAATTATGCTTTAACATTGGTTTATTTTGTTTTTTGGTAATTTTATTTTGGTAATTTTGAGAAGCCAGAGGAAAAAGAAAAAAAAGGCAAGCTTTTTTTCTTCATTATGCCGGCAAAATTCTTGTTTTTCTTTCGGGTTTCCACCTATACTATTATTATTATGATAGGACTCAAGACAAGGCGAAACAAAAGAGTCACATAGAAAAACAAAACCATGAAGAAACATAAAAGAGTTTAAAAAAAGCTCTAGGCGAATGAAATATTAAAGTAATGTCAATAGAATAATATTATCGAAACACTAATGTTGACTTTAAAAGAAACGAAACATTATTACAAGAGTCTCACGAGGGAACTTTTACAAGTGATCGATTATATTCTCACCAAACTCTACTCAATTATCAGTGATTGATCAGGTTTCTTCAAAATAGTCATGGCAAAATCCCCATAGATCTTTATATGCTGATTTGATAGAGAATTGGTATTCTAGGCAAGCAAAAACTTTACTCAAATCATATTTGATCTATATAGAGTAGACAACGTATCGAGTTGTATACAAATCAATAATCTTTTCTATTTTCCAAAAACGAATTTTCAAGTAAAGAAAAAAAAAGATTTTCACATTGAAATGTTGATCTGTTGTATGAATTAAAATGATTTTATTTCCTGCAAAAAGAAAACCGATTCAAAACTGCAAAAAGTCACCGTTTACTAGACAATATAATTTGCTCTATCATCTTGACAGAGTGAAAAAAAAAATTTCCGAAAAGTTTTTCAATCTAGTCAACTGGATAATCTAATGTGCACAGTCGAATAAGAGCGATGATGTAAGCTCAATAACTCGACAATAGCAATCTGCAGTTTTCAACAATTAAAAGAGGACAATTCCGAACGTGTTTTTGTCTAATACCATATACGACAACACTTTTAAAATCCACCGTCTTCACAAGATATCGAAAATAATACATGAAAACAGTGTTTCCATTGAATGTAATTTTGATTTTGACATATATGTTTCGGATAGAGATACTTCAGATCTTTAACAAAAATCAAGTATCTATTCGGTTAGACTATATACAGAATTCTGTTGATTTTTCACAAATTTTCTTGAAATGAAACTTTGTTGTCGTGAATTTTTTTTTCAATGTTTTGTAAAGATGATGGGTTTTTAAATAATGTTGTCTTAAACTGTATCAGATAAAAAGACTTGAGGGTGTGGGTGTGGGTATGGATCTTCTTTCAACCACACCCACACCCACCATCACCGCACAAATACCAAACTATACAATCCGAGGTCGAGTGTTCCGGATGTCGGAATCGATGATTTCATTCATTTTCTGGCAACGGCTCCTGCAAATCCCATCGACTTCCAGTCGGTTCTATCATGTTCCAACGATTTCTTTACAACTGGATTCTGGTCGGTTTTTCCCCGAAAATTTCCAACAACCTTCCGATTGGATCCGATCCGAATGCGTCGAAAATAGAATAAAAGCTGCCAGTGAAACTGTTGCCAGATTCCAGTTGCAAGGGACACGCCGTAACAGAAAAGGAGTCGGTCAGTTCTGGCCGAGCAAGAATGATCCGAGATTCTATAAAATCATTCTTTCATCCAAAGTGTCTTGTTCGATGCAATTGTGTTAGTAAACAATAGGTTTAATGGCTTTAATCCAACAGATTTTTCTATTCCAGCTAAATCCAAATTAAATCCTCTAAATGAAATACCAATGCTCAATGTAATTCAAACATGTTTATTTAATTATTGTCAATTGCTTCCTCTTTGGTGTCAATTTGAGCAATTTACTATTGATCTACTACGAGTGTTTCTATATGAGTCAATTCAATAGAATTTTCGCTATCGTTGTGGCGATAAATATGGATGTGTTCGTTGAACTCCCAATGGTATTCTTTGTGCAACATAAGGGATTGGTTGTCACGGTATGGATTATTCATTTTTGATGTTTTTGTCGATCGTGTTATCAACTTTAATCTTGTTATTTTGAATTCAGAAACATGTTTAAATTGACTCTTCATTTTAGTCGTAGCGCACCCAAAAAAATTTGCGGATGTTCAGAAAGTCACAAACGGCTTATGAAAGTGCAATAATCTGCAAACCCTTTTTTTTGTTCATCGAAAGAATCAATATATCCTTAAACGTTTATTAAATAGGCAGTTTACTGGTGTTAGGTATATTGACTCTTTTGATGAACAACAAAGAAAAGGGTTTGTGGATCGCTGCACTTATATAAACCTGTTTTGAATTTTTGAACATCCGTAAATTTTTTTGAATGTAGTTATCATCTTAATGATGGCCCTGTGATTCATCGATTTATCATTTGTTCATTCATTCACGACATAGTTCATTCCAATGTTTGCTTGAAAGCTAGCACATTATTTGAATAGAGTCGTCGTGATGAGTATTGAAAAAATAGGGTTTCATATAATGTAAATGATCTGTTCATTGCACGTCGTCTAAATGCATAACTCACGTACCTGTTTTCGTAGAAATTCGAAACAACAAGTGTACAAGCTAAACGCCGCTGATGGAGGTAAGACGCGGCATTACAGGCTTCTGCATTTCGAAACTATTTCTTTGTCTTGTTCAAATCTGATTTTCCTTGAATATCATTTGTATTCTCTCAATCAATTTATTTCTCTTTGATAGAATTGTTTTACGAGTAACAATATTCTGCTCAAAACAAAAGATATAGCATCAGATTGAGTGGGTGTATCTATTGGTGTTGATTATTTCGTAGAATCAAGCGTTCTGAAATTGATCTAGTGGGAAATTGGGTCCAGGACATATTCGTCCAACATTGAATTGATCATGAGTATAAATCTGAATGCCCGGATAACGACGTTTGATATCAGCAACCAATTTGACACCTTCTTGAATTTGAATTTCAGGCATGATATTGTTGTTTTGAATATTACGACTGAATTCAATTCCAATGCACCACAGATTTGGATTCGGACGACCATAAAATACCGAGTTTGGTGTCACAACGCCTAAAATGAAGGACTTTTTCAATCTATTTGAACGTGAATTATGTGTAGGTTTTCAAAAAAGAAAATTTTCTAAACTGTAATAATGAAATAGCAATAAAAAGGGATAAATTTGGAGGATTTGGAAATTTCGTAAATTACGAAAATTACTGCACTTTCAGAGATTTAATAAATTACTGAGTTCTTCATACCAATCGAAGTTTTAGAAATCATGTGTTTGAATTTCCCAAAACTCCCGAAATTGTCCTATTTGGAAATCTTCCCATTGCTGTTCAACATATTCTCCTCATCAACCTATGTCGCATTAAGAAATCAGTGTCTAAGTTATTATCGATGAGCTGACTCTATTGTTTCAGGACGTTTGTGATCAAATCATCCTATCAGGAAAACAGAAGCAATAGTATGTGTTCAGTTGAATTGAAGTTTCTTAAAGTATTACATTCAACTGATAAAAATATCTCAATTATCTATGGATCGGAGTAGCAAGCTATTAGTCCAAACGTTTTTCTTTACAATACAATTAGTGGCTGCTTCGCTCATGAGTGTTATCGGCTCTGACATACTGGTATTTCTTTTCTAAGAAAATGTTTCGACCAATAGCGAACCAATGTCAAGATCATGAGATAATTGAAAAACAAGAAGATCACGTCTTAAAGGAAATGTCAAATTTCGCTAGACAATCAATTCTTTTTTTTGTTGATCTGCCATTCATTTGCGTGTTCCTGTGACGGACTCTCTGCCAAATTTTGCGCTCTTCTATGATAATTATGTTCAAATGATATTTTCAGATTAGAATTGATTGGTAGAATATCTCACGAGTCGAAACTCATCGCCTCTTTACTTCATGCTCGTGACTACGATCAAGAACAAAACTAGACGTACCATTATGCCATGCTGTATCGTCTTCACTCACCATTTGTACAATCGTTCCGTCTTGTTGAACGACATAATGTGCCGATACTTGACTTGCCGGATTCAGAAACCATTCAACTGCACCATTACCAGCTGTACCATGAAGAACAAGACCTTTTATAAAATAATCAAGAATTGATTGTTTAAATGGTGGTTCAATTTCAAGTCTTACAAGTAATGTCGAAACCTCGACGTCCACGTTCAAAATGTGGTGAGGAAACTTGTATTGCTCCTGCATAATCCAATGTCCACGACTGAACATAAGCAACAGCAAGACCAAGGAATAATATAATGATTGCCATGAGTAAGCGTTCTCAATATACCACCCGTGTGCAACGTGTGCTCGATAATTTTATCTTGTTTGGTTCTATTTTCTCAAATTGACTTGAAAACCTGACACTAATACCCTAGCTTTAGAGATTCCTATTGAGAAAAAAGAAATTTGATCAGTTGAGCTTCATCAAAGGCATTGATTGAGGGATACTAGGGCGTAATTGCGCTCACTACTCCTCTTGAAAATGAATTTCCTACTTATTTGAATGATTGGTGATAGAAAAATAGAGTTTCTCCTACTCAAACATCACGTTTCCACTTTCTGCCTGTGTCCTCATCTATTAAGCCCCCTCAAAAATCGATCTCAGCTGCGGAACATTGAGATAGCATGAAGCTTTGGGGATATGTTGGAGGTGTAAAAGTACGCCTGTGGTAAAATTTTCAGCCTCCTATCCTGATGTATATAGTAGATACGAACCAAACAAAGGTCGAAAAATAGCTTATCGCATCACCAAAAATTCTCTATGGGTGTTGATTCAATTTGGTTCATTGTTTTTTCTTATGAAAGAGCATGTCAGGATGTAGTGCCTATGAGGGCCCTTTTTTTAAATTCTTACCCTTAATAAGAAAAAAAGGGTTCACAAATTCAATCATTCAAAAATCCCTCAAAAAAATGATGCTTATATTATAAAGTCGCTTTTCAATATAATAATAAGAAAGCTTTATCAAAAAAAGGGTCCTCATAGGCACTGCATCCTGACATGCTCTTTCAAGCAAAAAAAAAATATTTGACTTTATATCGGATTATAATTGGCTTTTGGTGGTGATGTGTCATTTGACCACTATTTTGAGAAAAACGCTAAAGAAGTTTTAGAAATGGAGTTTTTCACTCAAATGCAGGAAATAATGATATATTGATAATATTTATGTGGAATTTTTGAAAGCACGCAATAGGTGGCGTAAGCTAGTGCTACAGGTCGTACTGTATGATATAAGAATGTTTGTTCCATGCTGATAGAAGTAAAAAAGTAGTCTTCCTAAAAATAACAAAAACGGCAAAAATCTCTCCGAAAACCGGGCAGTGAGGTGGAGATCTCTTACGAAAGTCTGTAAAAATTTGACCTTTTTTTAAAAATTTATATATATTCTGAAAGAGGAAACTTCGCTGCATCTTCCTATGATAAAAACTAGACTTCGATTACTTTACCAAAAAATGAATTTTCTGAGGGGGGGGGAGGGGCTTAATCGTGCCGATCCTTACTACAGCTAGAAGTCGTAAATGATTGAAGTCCGAATATTTTTATTCATGTTTTTGATTGATCACTATAAATATTTTCAGTTCGAACACATCAAAGAGTTGAAAATGTTCGAAGAAGAAAAACAAATGTCTCATATTCAGCAGAACTTATTCAACAGCTTCGACTTATCTATTCTACGAATCTAAATAGAAAATTTCGATGAGAATTGAATAAATAATCCAGCATAGAGAAATTCTTCTACGATTCAATTCAATTTCAAGTTTGGGTGTTGGTATAGGTGTGAGTGTGACTGTGTATGTGGATGAAGTTCTGGCTGTGGACGTAACCGCCGATGAGCATAAGACGCACACCCACACCCACACCCACACCCTTCTTTATTTGATGAGAAAAATGCAAAAAAAGTGAATTTTTTACAAAAATTAATAAAAAAAAAAGCTTGTTAGCTCAGCTCCAGAGGAGCTGAAATGTGGAACTCACGTATATCTTTGAAACTTGTTATCCTGATGCCTAATGTTTAAACTGCAAAATACCTTTTCTCGAGTATTTATGAAAACATTGATATATTATATATTATTGAAAGCCTTCTATGTGCGGTTGCTCAGGTCTGTAATGGGGGACTGGGTATGGATGTGGGGTGTGAGTGTGTGGGTGGGGTGTGGGTGTGGGCGTGGGTGTGTGGGTGTGGGTGGGTGTGGGTGTCGGTGTTCTCTTCATCCACACCCATACCACACCCACACCAACGCCCACTCACACCCACACTCACAACCACCCACACCCACACCCACACTCACACCCTAATTAAATGACTATGATGTAATAATCGAAGTTTTAGTTTTTGTACGTTACATACTTCGATGAATGTATTCAGAAGACTCTAAGATAAACTTTTCATTTTGGAACAGTTTATCTTCAAACTTTGTTTCCACGAAAACAAACAAGATAAAATATACCATTCCATAATAGTGAATCATTCTTTCTCAGATCATTCTTCTACATAGAAACATGCTGGATAAAGTAGAGTGATGCAATGGAATCAAAAATTTGAAAAGTTTATTATGTGAGAATATACTAAGCAAAGAAAAAGGAAACGTATAGCGGTACATTACGCAAAACGATCGATAAAATGATTTTCAAGCTGCGAAAATAATAAAGCAACAACTTGGAAATTTCATTTTTGAAGTGTTTCCAATATAGAAAATTGATCTGGACACTTCTACACAGTCTTCTTGTTTATCAATCTATGTTACTTTAAATTTTTAAATAAAGGCTCATGAAAAATTATAGTTTTTCTAAGGCATTTTCTAAAGAAATAACCGAGAAATCATTAAGATCTTACAGAATTTAAGTGCATTATTATGTTAGGAGCTATCTAGCTGCTAATTAAAAATATTTTCTTGCGCTTTTTTTTGCTTCCGTTACATCTATATTCATCAATAGTCAATCCATTACTAATTAATAATAAAACATCTCTTTTTCATGAATAAACAATCAAGATTTTTCGTCTTCTATAACTTTTCCTACGAATGAGATACAATTTCCGTAACATTTTCTAACCAATTACAGCAATTAGCAAAACATGTCCTTCGTGAAGATTATTTTTTTCTATGAGAGTACAAATGTCGATGTAGTAAATACATTGCAGAAGTACCAATTACAAAGAAACAAGATCTGAACGTTGTTTGATTTTGTTGAAACACAACGATCAGCTGATACTATTGGTGCATTACTATTACAAAAAAATCTCGTAAGTGTAGTAATCCATGAGAATCAAACAAACATGTCCAATACTTGTTACAACATTCGTTGTTGCTCATGGTTTAGATTTTCCTCTTATTGATTTTGTGGTTAATTATGATTTTATCGGATACAAGTGATTTTTATATTCGTCGTGTTAGTCGAACAAGTAGAATGAATTATAAGAAAAACAAGAAAAAGGAGAAATAGTTTTGAAAATTCCTTTTTTTTGCATAGGTCATGCTGGTTAATTGGAGAAATCCATATGATTTTTTGATTCCGATCGATAGTCTGACAGAAAAATTGCTCTTAAACTTACACTAAAATTATGCCAAGTATATTTTGTTCTCTAAATTGAACATGAATTTTCAATTGATATCTTTCAATATGATGGGATGGCCAAGCAACATCAGAATTTCTTTAAAAATATGGTGATGTGGGTACTATTGGATTTTATCATGATGACCATAGGTCGACAAATAGTAATGTAATACTGTTAGTGTGAGTGTGGGATAAGGCATACACCTACCGTCTGTTGAGTAATTAAACTAAGAAGTATTTTTAATAGATTTTAGGTTGACATTGTTGCTGAAAATTTTGAGCGCGAGGAAAGATTTCTAGCGATCTTGTGTCATGTTCAATATGTCCTTCATATTTAGCCAATAGACATTAAAGCAAGACTAAAATTTTGGATATATCGGTAGATTTTATATGCTCTTTTATATCATATTTTCAGAGGAAATAATTTCTCGATCGAGTAATAGATTGTCTCTTAAAATAACGTTGAGAAATTTATGAAGTTCTTATGAACCATCCACAATAATCAATCGTTACCGTTCTTCATTAAAAGTATAACTCATAAACATAGTTATTGCTTTTTTGTCTTTACTATCCAGAGAAGTAATCCTTTGTGGTTGTTACTCAACAGTTTCTTCAATAACAACTTAGAAAAAAATTCTTTTGTTTGTTTTTAAAATGTGATTACTGTGCTTCAAATAAAATGATTCAGAATGGATAAAAGAGAGAAGAAAAATAAATTTGCACTTATACATGAGAGTCACAACAAAAAAAACATATGTATAAATTACCGGCTAGAAGTAAGAATATTTAGAGAAAATAATTGTAGAAAAAATGCGTTCAATAGAACATTTGTTTTCCACAAATAGTAACCTTGTTTGAAGTAGACATTATCAAATTCTATTCAATCATTAAGATAAAGTCTATCTTACTTTATATGTCAATCTGGCAAAACATCATTTCTATTGAATATAAAAATAATATTTTTCTTCGCTCAATCCATGTACCACACTCACAAGTTAGTGTTCAAAAATTATAAATACAGAAAAGAAATTTTATTTGATTAAAAACAAACTATTCTTTTTACAAAATTTGACAAGTATGAAACTAATGCATCATCATGAGCAGCTAGAGTCATTGAATCATCATGAAAAGATGTCGAAAGAGAGATTAGAATTTTTGTTTTCATTGAAATCAAATCTATTCGAACCATATTTTCATACTAAGATGTTCGTGAACCAAAAGTTGCATAAATTGGAGTTTGTGAACCGTGAAGTAGCGCTATAAAAAAAAATTAAAAATTGATTAATTAATTTATTAGCAATATAGATTATAAAAAAAAACACAAACGTTGCTGGTATATTTCTATTCTGATTAGCCATACTTGTTTGACATTGAGATAAAGCTCGATTTTGCATGTTGATACTGTTATATTTATTATAAAATATTTTTCTCTTAGTCAACAATGGAATCATTTGCCTCATTTGTAAATTTTCGATTCGATACTTGTTTTAGTGTAAATATGACTCTCAATTATTGATTTTACAAAATGTTAAAATTTATTAATATAAATTAATTTGAGTTCATTTTCTAATTGATTATTTAAATAAAAATAATTCATATTAATTTATTGATCAATTAGATGAATGTAGTCTTTTTTTAATCTTTTTAGTAAAATTTTATATTAATTATTCTAATATTTTTATTTATTTTAATATAAATTTCAATGATTAATATTCTTTACTAGAAAAATTTTCAATAATAAATGAACAAATTGTTTTTCCATCAAATATCAATTAAGAGTTTTATCTTGACAAATATCGTAATTGTCAATCACATGGATTATTAACTAAGTGAATAATTTTTTTTATAAAAAAATCTTTTTATTGAATTAAGGTTGAACCTAAAACAACTCTTAGTCAATTTTCTTTTTATCAAAGTAATAACTATTATAATTAACAGATCTATCTTAGTGAACTTTTATGTGGATAATCTTCGGAAAGCTTTTATTTATTTAAAAAACAAACATGACGAAGGGGAGTTTTAGATTTCCTTCAAGGAAGTCTGGTAAAGAACATTCTTTCATTATTGACATTTATTTGTTCTTTTCTGAAGCACAGGGTAATAAGTGTTTGCATGAAAAACGGAAAAATGATAAACTGGAAAAAATAAAAACAAGATCTACTATAACTTGACTTTGTCATGTAGCATTAAGAAAATTTTGTGCTTCCTTATCAATGATTTGATTTGAAGGAAAGTTTCGTTTGATGAATGTCTAGATAAAAGATGTGAAAAAGATCAGGTGAGGAAAACAAAATAAATGATTGTTCCAATTTATTCTAGGCTATTTGGTAAGAATAAGGCTACTTCATTACTGAATTCAGTTTAGGAATGATCTTTTTTTTAATGACAGCTTCTTCTTATTCATACTGATAAATAAATATGTTAGTCAAATTAAGGAAAAATAAACTGATTTACAATGATTTCTAGCAATATAAATCAATTTACTAACAGATAAGAACTGTTCACACATAATGATATTGACTTCTTTCTAGATAAACATTTTTCTATTGCTTTTTTTGAAATATTTGATCTTTCAATAAGATAATAAATTTGTTTTACTAAAGTAATAATCAATATATTATTGCAAAAGTAAAATAATCTTACAAAAATTTTGAATAATTTTTTTCTTCGAATAAATAAATTTCATTTATTTTAACATAATTAATTCGTGTATCATCTCTGATAAACTTGTGTGCCACTCTTTCTATTGACTAATCATTGATATAAAGAAGAATATTAGTATGAAAATATGTTTTTGTATTAAATAATAATTCTTCTTTATAATTACAAATGGGTATTTTTAGATTTCATACAGCAGCCAATATCAATACCAGCAATTTTAATTACAATGAAATGTTTTTTCATCCCAAAAATAAAATTTGACGGAAATAAGCCTAAGCCTTTTTCCTGGGATAATAATAAGCATTTAATAATATCGTCATAAATAGTTTGTTTTATAACACTTTTTTTTTTGAAATTTTTCACTTAACGAATTAATATATTTTTCTAATTCTTGATAAAAGACCAGTTCTTCATTATCTATCTGCACTATCCTTGAATCCGATTGAGACATTTTTTGTTAGATTATAATATGTACAGCTATATTTATACTGCTTATTGACGCGACCGTTACTATTACAGATCTTTCTCTTTTTTTTCAGTCTATTTTATTTTTGATAAAGAAAGTGATTGTATGAATTTATTCCGAGCTGTATTTTAATTTTGCCTACAACATATATTCGTAAGAATCAGAGATGTCCATCGCGGCGCTGCCGCGCCGCCGCCGCTGCCGCTGCCGCTGCCGCGGTGGCGGTGGCGGCGCGGCAGCGGCAGGTTTTTAAAAAAAATCACCGCGGCAGCGGCGCGGTAGCGGCAGATTTTTTTAAAAGTCATCGCGGCAGCGGCGCGGTAGCGGCAGGTTTTTTAAAAAACCATCGCGGCAGCGGCGCGGCAGCGGCAGGATTTTTTTGGAGGACATTGAAAAACTGTATGAATTTAATAGAATTTCACGATTTACAAATGAAACGCCCTGATATTGAATAAATCTGATGGACTAGTACCCATATCTCTGGTCAAATATAGTCACAGCAGTGAAATTAGAAACACTTTTTTGAAAATCGTCGCGGCAGCGGCGCGGTGGCGGCACGTTTATTTTATAATTCATCGC